AACCTACTCAAAAGAGTGTTGAGAAGGAAGAAATAGTAAATGAAAACGACGATTGTGTGTGATGATTTAGGACGACAGAAATACCACCCTTGTGTACTAACGTTGTCGTCTCTGTAGGGAAGGTACAAAGGAGGTCCTCTTTACCCTACCACCCAACGTCTTTTGTTCTCTCGCTGCATGGTCAGAGTTGTCTATTTTTGTTCCCTCTCTGATACCCTTCCTGCCACTGACTACCTGATCCTCTCCCTTATCCCCTGTTTATTTTACTATCTCTCTGAGATTCGATTGCCCCTTTTTCCTCTTTCTCTATTCTGCCTCTCTCTAGATCGAAGAACACGATTATCTTTAAGAGTACAACGAGTAACATCCTACGTACCGCGCACCGAACCATTACTCGCTCGCCGTCGACTGCGTAAACTAAATCGGTCTTCTGAGGGGCGGTTGGTAGATAGGGTGAGGAGGTTGCTCGGTCGTAAGTTGTCGAGTGGGCTGTGACCGACGATGTAGTGGTGTTGTGGAGCGGGCGTAGCTGTGGGGAGGGGAGTGGAGCGTGATGAGGTGAACCGCGTTGTGGTGGTCGAAGACGAGGTAGGGTGAGTGGGGGTGCTCGGGGTAGCCGGGCTATTTAACAGTGACGATACTTGATCGTATAAACCGATCACCTGCTGTAATACATGCGAAGTCTACCTCAGAGAATAAGATTTATGTATGATTCGACCCTCTTTCGTTGTCACCTGTACGTAAATTTTCTGTAACTGTTCTTTTGCGAGGTCTCGTTTTGTTTGCCAGTAAGGAAAAAATTGCTACTACAGCGTTTACTCGAATACTTGATGGCGCACAACAGCGAGGACGTCTTCACACTGTGGCCTAATGACGGTATCTACATACTTATGGCTCTTGTTGTCCTTACGTAAGGTTCAGCTTTAACTAAGTACAGTGCGGGAGTAAAGCGTCGTGAGCTTTTGCGACCACGTTTTCCCATGTTATTATTACATTAAGTTACCATAGTTTCGATAAAACCAACCGATTTTTACCTCCTTTAATAACACATATATATACTGTATATCTACCACACACACACACACACACACACACACACACACACACACACACACACACACACACACACACACACACACACACACACACACACACACACACACACACACACCCTCTTGTGGATGGACGCTGGCTAGTGCCGCCCTACACACACACACACACACACACACACACACACACACACACACACACACACACACACACACACACACACACACATAGAGAGAGAGGGAGCCAGGACTCCCTGTGGATACTGTATGTACAGACACACAGAGACCCAGCCTGGTAAGATGCCTTAACCTTTAAAACGCTGGTAACATTTCTTTTCATAATTTATAGTCAAGTGACACATCTTAAAATGCACCTTTTTGTATCTGTTATCACTTTAAGCTCTGCGCAAAGGAAGAGTATATTGCTCGAGTTGCACGCATACTTATTAAGGTGTTAAGGTAAAAACACTAAGGCTTTCCACATTGTCACTGGCAGCATAGCCTCTTTCCTTTAGTTTTCGCTTTCACAATAAAAGCACAAGACAACAACGTTGTTGCTCGGGTTGTATTTGAGCAGTTGACAGTACGACTTGGAAACGCTAAGATGTCAAAGGAAAAAAATTAAATGTTCTGGTTCCAGCAGCTAAGACGTGAGGGTTTTCTGTATTTAAAATTATTCTTATTTGAATATCTTTGGGTTTTGGTCAGATAAAACAGCCAATTTGTATATCTCCTTTAGTTCTGAGGATGTGAGGGGCATCCTTAAAAATGTTCTGACATGTAATACATACACTGTTTAATGTTTTAATAAATAAGTACATACTGTATAATGTACACATTTTTGACCAAATAATTTCCCGAAAAAAACGAGGCATCTTTTTGTATTGCCTGCCTTTAATAAGCACTTAGTATAACACCTTTAATAACTAATACAAGCTGGGTTGCTTCTTTAATAAAGCACCCAATTAGTTTAAGAGGACAGACACATACCTGTTTGCGTAGTGAGGATTCCACATGACTGTGCCGAGCCAATCCCGTTGTCCAGGAGACACTGGAACACGCCCCCATCCTGCAGCGTCACGTCTGTAATCACCAGCGAGGATCCAGAGATCTGGAAGCGGCCTGATGGGGTGATGGGGTCAGCGTTGAACAGCCAGGTGATGTTAGGGGAAGGGTTTCCTGTCGCTACGCAGGTGAAACGAGCTGAGGAGCCAGGAGAGACGATCTGATTGGTCGGGCCCTCAGTGATAGACGCAGGCTCTGTGAAGAAAAGCTCTTATCATCACCATGCGATCTGATGCAAACAATCCTGACACTCTAAAAGCCTTTCTTGTGCTTTTCTTACCAAGAACATTCACAGTATAGTTAGCGATGATCACTGTCCCCTGCTTGGTTTCAGCAGCACAGGTGTAGCTCCCTTCATCGCTCCTCGCCACGGCAACAAAGACCAGGTTGTTGTGCTGTTGCTGAGAAGGCCCCGGTGTGACCTCCTTACCGTTCTTTAACCATTTGGCTGCTGGTGCAGGACTTCCAGACACGACACACTCCAACGTCAGCGGCTGAGACTGCTGCACCAAAACAGTCTGTGGGGCGGTGGGGTAAACTATCCTCACAGGAGGGGGGGAGACTGAATCTAAACAAACAGAGAAAGCACATGAGCAGAAATAAAAGATGAATAAACCTTTTCCAAAATCAAATTCAAGCACTTTTCAAGTACCGTAATTTTCGGACTATAAGCCGCGCCTTTTTCCCTATTTTTCGACGCTGCGGTTTATATAACGGTGCGGCTAATCTATGGATTTTTACAGCTAACGGCCAACACCTTTAACTCTATGGGCTCTATGGCCGGTCCGCGGACCCCCACCTTTAAGCGGCGGGTTCCAGCAGGAAAAGCTGGAGGTCGGAAAAGAGTGAGACAGGTAGCGCGCAAAAGTAAAAGTGGAACCGAGAGTGGTATGCCGCTGCTGCGGCTTATATTCAGGTGCGCCTTATAGTCCGAAAATTACGGTATTTTAAAGTTGCATCTTAAAAAATGTATCACCTAATCACTGTGGTTAATTAGACATTTATATAAAGTACAAACAGCATTTACAGTGTGAGAGTTATTTTACTTTATTACCAGACAACATTGCATAGAAGGTTGACAAATTGAATGGAAATACAAAAAAAGGTTCATATTTCCAAAAAGTGTTTCGAAGCAGACCTGGCATCCTACATAACATGGCTGGGAAATTATAAAAAAGTTAAACTATATAATGCAATTACCATTTCAGGATGTTTAAAATACTACATTAAAATCAAAGCACTCTTTTCGAGGAATTCAAGCACCTACACAGAACCCAAATAAAATATGTCTTGATATGAAAACTCCTGAGTCTTAAATTAAATGTCATCAAACTTACGTTTCACTGACAGCTTAGTACCATGAGGCTGCATGACGGTTTCCCCGGTAACAGGGTTGAATGCACCACATCTATACATGCCCTGGTGCCGGTCTGACACTGAGAGAATCTGGAGGTTTCCAGACGGAAGAACTAAGTAGTCACCTGAAAGGAGAAGGAAACAACAGCTTCAGTAATGGCAAAGAGAGACTTCACAATATCAAACTAGTGTGTGTTACAGCAAGGACGTGTACAAGGGTATTTGCTGTCTTTGGCTGAGCTGCTCCTGTGGAGAAGGACATTATAATAATAGTTTCATTTTGCTGTTGTGGTTGCATAAATATGAGTAAGTGAGTATGAGGACCCATCATTTACTTAAGTCGGACCAAACTAAATTGCCACATCATCAAAAACGTGTGGCATTTTGATAGCCATGCATGTGCGGGACAGAGATAGGGGGACCCAGAGCCATAACAAATACAAATATGGAATATAATCCAAACTCAGATGTTGAGGGCTTTATTCTAAGTTTAGAGCAGCAGCCCCTCAAAATTATATCTCTTCAATCAATACACATTATTGTGTATGAAATTAATTAATGTCGTAAATCAATGTCTGTTTATGCAAATGGTGTCAAAACAAGACCAACCAACAGGTATTGTGTATTGTCTACAATGGCCTAATACAAACAATATTAACATGTCATATCACAAAGGTCAAATGCATGTTCAAAAGTACAAGAAAATACAATATATTACGCGTATATATTATTGGTCTCAAACAAACCTGTGGAGACTTCTATCCGCTCCCCTCGTACTCTCAGTCTGGGCAGGGCGGGGGGGACGCTGTGCGGTAGAGGACACTCTATAAGAACAGAGCTGCCTTCCTGCACTGATAACGACCGCCGTCGGCCATCTTCATATTCTGATATTTCTGCAGAGAAAAAAAGAAAACTCATTGAGTCAAAACTCACTTTCTGTGCCAAACACTGGACATTTTAGTTTCAGCAGAGTCAAGAATGAAGGCGAACAGCGCTCCTTGAGTTTGAGTGTTTGTGTTGGATCACTGGGTTTGTTTATTGTTGTAGTGAGCGATTCTATGTATGTCTGATACAGTTCCAGATCAGGGTCAACCCCTCAGTGTAAGGTCTAACAGTGAGCAGCATCCCAGCAGGAACATAACACACTACACAGGAAAGCCCAAGGCTCATTAAGGATACCGCTCAAGAGGCATTTGGAAGTGTGCCTGAGTAAAAAAACTCAGACTGCTTCCTTCCCCTCGGCCACTCAGCAGCAGGCAGCCGAGGACAGGCATTCTTTGCAAGTGTTCAACACTCACAAAATGGCCTTCCTCTTTTCAAGGCAACTTCCTCTCTCTTTTTACCCCTCTGCTTTGAAGTGAGTAGAAGTATACACTGAAGGGTAATTCTCCGTATCCGTACCTGCTATGGCCACACGCGCGCGGCAGCTAACGATGGCTGGCCCGTGGGCTAAGCGTGCCATACACTGATAGACGCCAACATGGGCGGACTGAAGTGAGGAGATGGTGAGGGAGCCGTCGTGGAACTCCACTCCAGGAAGGGTGTCCCGGTCCAGGGGACGGCCTCCGAATCGCCATGAGACCACAGCTGATGGAGGACTCACTGAGCAGAGCAGACGAGCCACAGAGCCTTGACTCTGGACCAAGGACGCAGGCTCAGAGCGGAAAGAGGGGTATTGAGCTGAGGAGGAGAAAAACAGGATCAGACTTTGTCGCTCTCTTAGCACAAATAACAAAAAGCTTAAAAAACACACATCTTCTGAACAAAAAAATTATCTGCATGGCTCTGAGGTAACAAATACCTCAAAGCGATACCGATAGTTTTGCGGACATTTAATACCAACAACAGTTTTGTTCATTTTTTGTTTGGTATTTCGGTTAATTGTCCCTTTATGCAATTTCTTAGGTTCTGAGAGGTCTTTACAGGGTTTTTATTTATACAAATTTATTTTGTGGCAAGAGATAACGTCCTCATTACATTTTTAACAATTAGGTGACTTACTTATAATATATTTATCTTAATGTATAGGTCATTTTCTTGCAAAAATGGCTTAAAAAGCTGTTTCAGCCTCTAAAACATGGAGAGTTTCTGCTTTTTTCAGTTTTACACACCGTCTGCTTCTTTTGCATTCTAGTATAGGACAGGATACGCTATACAACACAGGATGTTTTGAAGTAAAAATACAAATGATCACTTTAAAGCTGCAATAATTGTTGAAAAACTAGGCAAAGAAACACAACCCTAATACATCAAGCAGGCAGAAATAGTCATGATAAAAACAGGTATACTGTATACCCTCACTTTAGCTATAAACACCTGCCATGTTTCTGCTAGAAAACTGATGGAAGTTGATTGGAGCTGCAGAGTTGTAATTCTCTTTTTCTATAATAATGACACCTTTTCTATACCACAGTTATTCGCTATGTGTCGTTTAAGTTTTCTTGAAATGTGAACCCACCACTTCCATCCCAGGTAAGCGGACAGAAGGAGGACCTACTTACATGAGCAGCTGATGAGCAGGGACTGGCTGAGACACAGCACAGTGGACAGGAGGACCCTTAGGCCACTGTCCATGGTGCACTTTGACCCCCGCCTGCAGCCGTGTTGCCCAGCGCGCACACACTCGTCTGTTGAGCAAACCTGCAACACAGGGAAGACAGAAAAAACACATCAAACCAGAGCTCTGAGTGGAAACATGACAGCATCCTGATGAGCGAAAGGAAGAGGTGAGACAGAAATAATCGAGGAGCTCCGAGTTGGGGGTGGGGTGCTTTCTATTAGGTTCGAAATGAATCTTGTGCGACAATCCTTCTAATCTTCACGACACATCCTCTTTACACACTCCTTGATCTCCACCTCCCACCCTCTCCTCTGACCCCTGTTCTCACCCACTTCAGTGTCTCCCAAAAGCTGGAATGTCCAGCCTCTCGGCCCCCCTGCCCCTCTCTCCCACTGGGCCGCTGGGATCTCCCGCTAATGGAGTGGCCGTGGAGAGACTGTCGCCTCACTCTTAATATCACTCTCTTGTCACACTGTGTTGCTTCCTCACAGGTTCACTGTAGCCTGAAGTGCAGGCCCAGACATACTGGAGGGCACGTAATTAGGAGCATTCCTCTATCCTTTTCAACCTGACCCCCCCCCACCTCATCCCTGCTCGACTGCGGCACCTCCTCCTCCTTTTTCTAAGAGTAATCCGGGGCAAGCTTTGATCCCAGGTTCCTGGTTGGTTACCAGGGTTTGAGCCCGAGGCCGAAGGGACAATGGCCGTCCAGCTGTGATATTCACACTGGCGCTCCGGTGGCTCGCAGACACTAGCGGAAGGGCCAACCTGGGCTGAAGAGGTGGGTCAAATTAAAAGGGATGATGTCTGGGTGGGATCGGTGAGGCTGAACGAACGTGTTTCTAACCCAACCTAAACACTGTTTCACCTGCTCAACAATGAAGCAGGTCAATGCGTTTAGCCTGCTTTCCATTCTGCAGAGCGGCTAGAAAATGACAACTTGGTGCCACTGGGAAACGGCTTGGGCTGCAAATGTTTTCCCTTTTAAATCATCTGTCCAAGGACATTTGAAAATGTTTACCAGTTTATTTGCCTGAATGCTTAATCATCTTATCATGTCTGTTGATTGAGTAATTGTTTCAACACTAGTTGCGAGTTATGCGATGCCAGGGGAGGTTTATTCCTTTATGATCCCACCAAAGAGACACAAAGGCTCTGTCCCTGTACTCATTCTCACCCATCTTGCTCCCTCTCTCTTTGAGGGCATCCTGAGAGGAGGAGGAGAGAAGAGGCAGGAAATAATAAACTCTCCGGGCTGCTGGCTCACGCCCACTTCTCACCCTGAGGTCAAAGCTCAGGGAAAACCAGAGAGAGAGGGTGGACCAGCGGGTGTCTGGTGGCCCTGGACCAGCCCCCAGAGGTCACCTCCAGTTCTAGGTTTCACTCACACTCATGTTCACTGTTTTTATAAACTTTCCACACAAAACAGGTGTAAAAAAACGAACATTTGCATTAATGGTTGATGAAAAACAATCATCTTTCTTTCTCAATTGCTCAATTTCAGCTTGATTCTGACTGTGTCAATCTGTTTTTCTTTTACTTTAGGACATACATTATGAATGTGCTGTTCGCTTTGCATTTCAGGCTCCAGTTTGAGTTTGCATGCTCATTCAAGCAGATCAAACCCACATCTTGCAGGCTAGCGTTTCTCCGTCCCACGAGTTGCAACAGGCCCTGCACACTGCCCCCATGTCATCAGTGGAAACTATCTTTCTCTCTCTGCCGGAATAATGATATATAATTACAATAATAACAACAGAACTATAAAAATGCACAGCCAAGTGCAGGCAGCACCTTGGCACACAGTGTGATGAGAAACCGGAGCTGATTCTGTAACTCCCTCTCTCGGTTCTTTGTGTTCACCTTTCTTTTTTATTTCTTAGTTTAACCAGTTACTTCCTCCCTGTGGGTATAGCAGTTTGGGCACTGCAGCTCCGACTGGGTGCCCTTGTGTAAACACACACACAGCTGCCTATCTGGCACATCGATCTGGCTCCACGAGGAAACACAGGGGCATCATTCCTGCTTCTTATCTGTTTGGCTCTCCTCTGACATCCGCCACCATGAAGCCGCCTCAGTGGAGACAGACACAGCGAGGATATCTTGTATCCCTCATCACAGAGAGTCTTCCCGATGCTGGCAGCATGGGAAGGCAAGTCCTGCTTCTTCCTGAGTCGACATAAGTCAAAGTGGCCTTTTGACAAAGGGAAAGTCCCTGTCAAATTAAGTCTTTTGCCAGAAAGTCCAAAGTTGATCTGCAGCCTCACTCCTCTGCTACCATTCTCAAAAAAATCCAGACTATTAAAGTGGGAAAAAATCCTGTGTTCCAGATTTTCCTCCTTCTATCCCAAATCTGATCTTGTGTTACCCTGCTGTTTTTGCACTTATGTTGCAGATGCATGGCCATTCTCAAGGCGCGATCGAACGGCTATAAATTGAAGAGACATCCAACATACAAAACAGACTCTGCACCGTTGAAAGCTGATACACAGACACAGGGACAGTTTGTGAAAATAAATGAGGATAGTGTCAGTGAGTTCAAGTGGAAAAGTTCCTATTTTTCTTGGGGTGTGGGGGTTGACCTATGTGTGTTTGGGAAATCTTTGACTGACACCTGGCTTAAGTGTGTGAAAAGCAAGAACAAACAGCAGTCTTTTTAGACAGCTTCTGTCCCTCACTTGTCTTTGTAACTTCATTTTTTATATATTTTTGTTGGAACCATCATGCTCACTCTCCGAGGAATCCATAGTAGACATGTACCGATGAAAGGCGGCATTTATTTATCAATCTTGGGAGAGTCAGAAACAGGAGTAGTCCCACATATCCAGGACAAGAAGGATCCCCGGTGATGACACAGGAGAAAATAAACACAGTGACAGGCAGCCCTCGGGGAAGGGAAAGGGGTTCGAGTTTTTTTTTTCCTCCTCTCTGCAGGAAATACTTAAAAGCCCCATCTGCCCGCATGTGGGGCTGGCCCATATCTCTGTCATATTGGGTAAACGGGGACAAAAGCAATGCGGCGGAGCATCAAAGACCTGGAGGGCAGAGGAGGAACAGGTCACAACTGGTGCTGCTGACTGAGGCAGGGGCCTGGCCTCTTCGCTTCACAAGACTGCACAGCTGAATAAAGAGTCAACCGCAAACCTCATGAAGCCAGCACTGATTCGATATTGGGGCAATCTTGTCTGCCTCGGCAATCAATCCAAGAGTGGAATGAATCCAATATATCAGAATAGGGTTTATCTTAACCCTCCTGTTGTGTTTGTTTCTCCCCCCCCTACTTTGGTGTTCCCGGTCAAATTTGACTGGTCGGGTTTAACTGCTCTTACATTAACACAACGAACATAAATCATCACCAAAATGTATTTAACACATTTATTTGTAAGATGTAAACAATGTCTCAGACTACTGGTTAACATGAATAACTGCAGTGATATAAACCAATAATAGAAACTGAAAATGACATTTTGTCAATAAGTTGGTATGTACTAATGATGGATAATCTAGGGTTACCCATTCATTTCTCAACCAATCAAAATGCAATGAAAGTGGTGATCAGCCATTTCATATGTTCAAATGCCTACTGTGGAGGATATCATAAGGCCTTAAGGCAATCAAATGTAAAACTCAATATCTATGGTTGATGAAAGTAGTAAATCGGTCAGATCTGACCCGATCACAACAGGAGGGCGAAATAAAAGAAAGAATTGTAACTAATGCCTACAGCTGAACAGATCTAATAGTTAGAGATACGTTCAGAGTGAAAAAGCAGTGAGGTGTGAGAGAAAGAGCAAGTCTTTTCTGGTATGATGGTCTAATCTGACCTGTACGCTGAAGCTGATTCACATGCTATACCCCAAACCTGTCGGCACTCGCCCCACATCTCACGGACAGAGGATCTGCAGCGCACACATTCCTCAGCCCCACAAAGAAAGAGAGAGCGACGGACACACAGAAAGAGACAGAGAAAGACAAGCACACAAGAGAATGGAGATAAATTCAAAACAAGAATATGAGAGGCAATAGGGGGCGAGTAAACGAGAGAAAAAAGAAAGGAACGTTCTCTAGAGAGGGGTAAAAGGAGATGGGGGTAAGAAGAGGTGAAACATTCACTGTGAGGTGAAAAGTTGCCAAGCCCCGGTTCATTTCTCCTCCCTATTTATTTGGCGCAGCGAAAGACGTACAGATAATGGCGGAGCTCGCCTCTACGTCTGCCAAAACTGACTGATGATTCAGCCCGACTATATTCAGCTCAGCCCAAAAACTTGGGAAGAGCCTCCTAAGAGAAGAGACTCTAGGGGACTATTATGGGCTTCTTCTGTTGGTCTGGGTGAGCCCACTGAGGCAGCCCGGGGCCACAGAGGAAACTAATGAGTGGAAACACTGGGCCTCTGGTACGGCCTAACTCTGTCTGATTAAAGACTGAGACGTTATTAAAAGTGGGACAGACTTAGACAAGGGGAGTGAGCTGAAGGAGGGGAGAGAAAGAGAGAAATGATTTGGAATCAAATACGGGAATTAGTAGGGGAGAGGGTTCCCTTTGTTTTTCAAAGAGAAGATGCATTGGAAGGGTTGAGTTAATCCATAATGCAAAATGACTGCCCTTGTCTGAACCTGACATCCTGGGGAAAGTTAAAGCAAGTCTCCTTAATAAATCATTTAAAGTGAGACTGACTGCAGAAGACAAAATTAGATGCATCTTCAAGGACAGTCTGCTTTTCAGACAGTGCTCTCTCTCTCTCTCTGTCTGAGGGAGGACAGAGCACAAGCGGTCCGGGAGGCGAGGGGTAACAGCGGGGCCAAGCGGGTCCCAGAACCCAGAGACGCCTCAGCCCTGACAACACGGCCGTGGTGAGGGATCAGGAGAGAGGAGGAATGAAAGAAGAGGCCCCCGGGGATCAGACAGTCACATCCCACAAAGCCCTGTTTACCAAGGACACACATCCAACCCCCCCTACTCCCAACATCTCCGTTCACCAAAAGCCCGACCCTCCCAAAGTGCCAGGGCCGGGACCTGGGAGACAGCGCTAATTCTGCCCTGAGGCTTGTTGGCCGAGGACACAAACAGAGAGCTGAGAGG